AATAGCAGTTGGTTTTTTTTTTCCTCTAGAGCTTCCATTACTTTGATATATGTTGCTGCCAAAAAGAAAGTTCAGAAAGATTAAGTGACTTGCCCAAAGTTACACAGTCCCATGTGGACCAGAGAAAGGATTTGAACCTTTGTGGTTCTCCACAGCTAGCTCTTCATTCACTTCTTTTATCCCCAGAATATCTCCTTAGGTAATTGCCTCCACTACACCATGCTATGTAATCACAGCTTACACTTACATAGCTCTTTCTGGTTTATAAAGCACTCTGTATATATTCTCTCATTCGATACGAACTGGGAAGTGCCAAGGACCTTTCAACATCAACACCATGGATCCAAAGCAAGTATGACCACTAACTCAGCATCATTAAGGACCAGTAATTATTAGCATTTCAATTATGTGTGGGTGACAGCTCTCTATGGTCAGATCATGAGCAAAACCCTGCCTGGCTTTTTCATCAAAAGACTGAACATTCGCCAAACCTCTCTGGCTAATATTGACACAACCCGGGGTTTAGACAGCATACAACACATACAAAATGAAAGACAAACATTTGCCAACTCAATTCCTAGCATATGAATGCCTGCTCCCCCATTCCCCACTACCCAAGAAAAAGATATTAATGATTTTTAAAGATTTCCAAGCTTCATCTCAGAAAGTAATTATAAAATGCTTCCATTTCCATTCATCTCCCTCAGTATTTTGAGGCTCCTAAAAACATAGGCCAACTCCTATCAAATGCAAATGAGTAACTGGGGAGAAAATAAGGGATAAGAAGCTGTGAAAGTTCACGCTTTCCCAGAAAAAAACCCAACAACCGTGAGCATCTCTTAGGAATGTCTTTCCAAAATTCAAACTAATATACAAAAGTCACAAGAAGCTAGGAGAGACTTGATACAGGTATTCCAAAAGCAGACAACAAAGGATTTCTAAAAATTGCAGCAAAAGCTCATGCTTTCCCCTAGATTCATAAGGGTGTTTTCCATATTTAGACAGTTTCTAGGTCTCTAGACAGATGGGGGCTTTCCTCCCCAATCTCTCCAACCTCTCCAGCGCTGGTTAGTGAAATGTTTCAATGAATAGCTCAGCAGGTAAACCTTGGTGACAGACTGGCTTGTGCACATACAAAGCCAAGATTAAGTTAGCCTCTTGAGGAGGCTCATTAAAAAAGCAATCTACCCAGCGCTTGAAACAGAAATTAAACTGAGAGGGGAAAGAGAGGGGGTGGGAAAAGTAATACGGAAGCCACAATATAGTCCCAGTGAGATAGAGAATATATATAGTTTTACAAAGCAGATGCCTGCTAGTACTTAAACTAAGTTTTACAAAGAAATATCATGCTTTATCATTTCAAGGCCACTCCTGTGTGACCCATGGCCCTGAGAAACACTAGAAACACTACCGAGCTGGAATTCTTTCATACTTTGCTCAACTAGGCAGGTAAGATGGCAGGAAGGAACTGAGATTGTTCAGTTTCATCTTTGCTTAATTAGAACTCATTTCCAACTGCTTGTTCTTGAATCATGTTTCAACTAAATGCATGTTTGGTTATTGGGGGGGGCGGGGGAAGGGTATAGGGGAATAAGGAGAGAAGATCTTCCATTCTTTGTGACCTGACCTGCAAAGAGGATGCCTCTTCCAACCCCAGCTCCTTCCAACCCCCAGTTTTTCTTCCCCTTTTTGACTGGTCTTTATGAGTAGTTTGCAAAGGGGCTCAGCAAGCAAGGTCGAGCTACTCCTAGTGGAGGAAAGGAAAAATTAAAACAGGGGACCATTACACAGTCTACACAAAATGAAATTTAGTCTGAAGAGGCTGAGTTGCAGAGGCTCGCTCACAGAAAGAAGAAAGGAATTTTCCTGATGTGAAACGAAGACATCTCAGATTCACCAACAACATCACTTCAAAGGATTGTAAAGTCTCTGAAGATGGAGAAGAGTGTATTTTGCACATACATTTCCCCTCTTCCCGACAACTCTGAGAAGTGGCAGCCAAAGCAATACCCTTTTATAGATAAGTTAGGATTTAGAAAGCCACAAGAAAAGGAAACAGCTGAAGCTCTTGTCCAATCAGCCGACTTTGTTTACTAAGTTAGCACATCTACCCTGTCCCTCTTCTGCTTTGTTCAATGATGATCAGTCACCGGAACACAGAATCCTGTGATCTTCCGATGGTTCTAAGATTTCCCCCATTGTTCAGTCCAACATGGAGCACCAGAACAATAAAAAGGGGTGTAACTACACTGGGAGTTTATGTACCATGCCTAGGCTGTACAATGATAAGACCCCAATTCCTTGGAAAGCCTGAGGATTTGGGCTTATGGCTTTTTTGCAGGTGGACCCTGCTGAATATCTTTTCAAGTTTCAAAAGGCAGAGTGGGTAAAAGGAAGATACCTTAGTTAAGGTTGGGTTCTGCTTTTTAGAAAGGGCATATGACTGGTGGTAAAACAGGAACGGTCCCTGGATTCATTCACACCAGCTTAAAAAACAAATCAAATCCAAAAACTACAGAGCTTATAATAACCCTGGCAGCCATTCGATAGTGAATAGGATGAAATGAAAAAAGCGGTCATCCCTGAGTTGTCCACATTAAAAAAGACATTGTGAAAAAGTAACCTTTTGGAAAACAAAATAAAGGAAAGGATAATCTTTAAAAGTATCTGGCTCAGGCACCCTAATTTCATTGGTATCTATTGAAATTGGTCTGGAGCAGCACAGGAGGACCATGCAACCTCCTTACCCAGTCAACTGGTAATTCATCTATGATAAGCCCAACTCCTAAGAAGGAGGCAACTCCTCACCTACAGCCAGCAGGTACCCCAAAACCAGCTTGTCACACGACTTGGCCAAAGCCAGTAACAACAAACAAAGGAGAAATCACAGCAGCCCCAGCATTTCTGAAAACTCAGTCCTTAGGCAAACAGTTCTGGGCTAGGTAAACAAAAGGCATGCGGAGAAAAACTAACACTTGGACCTGTTCCCGAACTTGAAGGACCAAAGAAGAAGAAGGCAGGCAGTCGGGGGTCACTCCAGAAAGCTAACTCGACATAAACATAGACAATGGAGAGAAAAATCCCATTTTTTTAAGTACTAGGAAATTGGCACCACTCAGGCCCTGAGGGTCTAAAGTCTTCACAGTGAAAGTTACTTAATAGCTCAAGATTCCCTCACTCAAACGGACTCTGAGCACAAAACATCAGTCACTTCTAAAAAAAATAAAAATAAAAAAGAAGATGCTTATTAGAAACCAAAGTCCAGGCTTGAGAAACAAGCAGCTAAACAAACCAGCTGGCACTGGAGCTAATAAGCATCTCTTGAAGACTCCCTGGCTCCTAGATTCCTGCCTTCTCTACAGTGTGCTGTATATCCAGCTCATGCTGTCTACCTGATTGGGAGAGTGCAGACTAACAGGAAAGAAAGGTTGGGTCCATTTTAGCCATTCCTGATTTTTTTTTTAAGAAAACTCAGTGCCTAGACAAATCTACCAACCAATCTGTTTCTGTATGTAAGAGGAGGTGGGAAAGGTCTCATGATGGATAGTTTTGTTTGCTTATTTTTTAATAAGGTTTTGAACTTGAAGGTAATTCTGCCTAAAGGTCCTGAGGGTAACTAAGCTACAATTTAGTTGTCCGCAACTCAGTGATACACACAGTAAATTGACACACAAGTCTTTGTTCTTTCTACTCAAAGAGGAGAGAACTCAGTCTTTGGGAATACCTTAACCTCCATCAGCCCCCTGGGATCAGGGCGAAGGAACCCTGCTGCCGAGATCTAGTTGAAAGAGAAAGGGTGACAGAAGCCCAAGAAAAGCTTACTGGCTCCATGAGGCATAAAATCAGAATGTCAGCAAACATTAGAAAGGTCAGTGGGGAGAAAAGATCCAGTCTAGGACTTCCATACACTAAAGAGACATGGCCATATTCTTCATATTACAGGGTTCAGGTTAGTGAAGAGTAGTAATCGATTCCAATTTTTATGGGCTGGTAAATGAACGGTTTTAAGGTGAAACAGGTGGAGAACACTCTCTGAACACAAACACACTCTCCCCTCCTAACCAACCAACACACACACACACACACACACACACACACACACACACACACACACACACACACAATGTGGTATCAATACAAGACTAAGTGAAGAGGACAGCTTGCCAGTTTGGAGAACTTTGACTGAGTCAATGAACTGAAGAAGAGAAAGAGGAGAATTTCTAGGCATTCTAAACCCTGTGCTGCCCTTCCTGGAGGATGTAGTGTCTAGAGAGGTAATGAATGCTACATAATACTGAGCAGTAACCATGACCATCCAGGGCCACACGAATGCCTTAAAGGTGAACCGTGTTAAAAGCTAGAGAGAGCACTCGGGGTAGGGGCAGAAAACCTAACCACCTACCAGATTATCTCTATACCAAAGTAAGAAGTCTCAACCTGAAAACCCAACACTGCCACTCCGTTAGTATTACTGGAGAGGTTAAAAAGAAATCATAAGGAAGCCTCCAAATGAGAGAACAGATTTTGGGAACCGGAGGACGAGGAATGAAGGGAAAACTGTCCGGTAAGCAACGAGAAGGAAAGGTGAGGGCTAGTTTTGAGGTGAATGTGGGCAGTTCAAGCAAAGAAAAGAATTACGGGAGAAATCCAATAGAGAAGAGGGAGAATAAGGACGGCGACGGGGAAAGACACCCTGTAGGCAATAAGGGAAGGAATGGGCCATATACAGGGAAGAAGGGGAGCAAAAGGAATGGGGTGAGGGAGTTGGTGCCAACAAGGAGGACAGGGTCAGGGAAAGGACACTGGTAGGAAAAGAGGGATATAAATAAAAAGATGGGAGAAGAGATGTCCATGAGAGAATGGGTATGCAGCCAGACAGCATGGAATGGGGGACACTAAAGCACTAGGGAAGGTGCACCCCCCTTCCCGCCATCACCAGTTCACAGTGCCCCCGCTGTACACCCCGGGGCACAGAACATGGAAGGGGTCTCCCCTCTTACCTTGGTGTCTTGAGGGCCGCGTTCTCCCGCTTGTCCAGCACTCCAGGCACGCAGTTGGTGAGCTCGGTCCAGTCAGCGTGCAGACCGCAGCTCCAGCCGGTGGAGAAGCGGGAGAAGAGCCAGGTCTCCCTGCGGTTGGGCCGGTAGCAGGTGCACTTCTTCTGGCCGGGCCGGCAGTCGCAGGGCACCTCAAGGCGCACGTTCTGCACCAGGTGGCGGCCGAAGGTGGTGCCGCCCGTCTTCTGGATGTGCAAGAACACGATCACGTCGTCGCCCTTCATGTCGAAGGTGAGCGCCCGCTCCAGCTCGCGCACGGGGAAGTAATACTTCTTCACGTAGTGCGGGTCGGGCGTTGGGAAGAGGTCCAGGTCATCAGCCAGGGCGCGGCCGCTGGGCGCCCCCAGACTCAGCCCCGGCCCCACATACTGGTACAAGATCAGCATGAAGCACACCGAGCCGGCCACGATCAGCAAGAACTTGCTGGTCCTCTCAACCATGGTCCTCCCGGCTCGCTTCATATGTCACCATCTCCCAGGGATTTTTTTTTCCTTCGGGGAGTGGGGAACGGGGCGGGGAGAAGGGAGAAATAGGGAAGACCCTGCAACCTTTGCTTCGGGGTCTTTTCCTCCCTTTGGACGTTTTTTGAGAAAAAGGCAAAAACTGGATTGTTTTCTTTTTTTTAGGGGAGTGGGGTGTCAGCTTCCCCCTTTTCGTCCTGATGTCCACAGCTCAGTCGCTGAAACAACTCCGAGAGGCTCTTTGCGTGGGAGGGACACCGCAAAACTGGGGCGGGGAGGTGTCAATCAATCAATGCAGCCTGCGCCTGGTGCTTCCAAAGTCGCTGGAACTGCGTCCTCTTCCTCCTCCGCCTCCCGAATCAGCAGCGGCGGCGGCGGCGGTAGCAGCGACCCGGGCGAGCGGGGAAAGTGACGGGGGGAGGGGAGCGCCAAGAAAGGGGGTCGAGTGAAGTGCTCCAAACGAAAACAACCCCCTCCCAGCCCCGGACGCCGCGCACCCGTGCCCCCCCACACCCCAACAGCTGTCGCCGCCGCCACCACCCCGCCCGCGGCTCCTCCTGACGCCGCTGCGGCTGCCGCCGAGCTCCCCGGCTCGGGCTCGCGGCCGCCGGCCCGGGTGTCCTCTGCGGGGGGGCTCGCCCAGCCGAGGCTCCAGCCCCGGCTACTCGGAGTCCTGGCTTCCTGCAGCCGCCACACGGTGATCGGAGCCCGGCATGCACAGCGCCATCGCCTCCCGCCGCCGCTCCAGCTGCCGCAGCGGCAGCCCAAGCCGCCGCCGCCGCCGCCGCCGCCAGCCGGGCTCCGAGCTCAGCACTGCAAGCGGCGGCGGCCCCGGCGCAGGCAAGGCAGACGCAGACACACGCACACCCTCCCGGCTCGCGCACTCGCGCTCGCGCTCGTTTGCTCGCTCGCTCACTCTCTCACTCCCTCGCTCGGCCGCTCTCCCTCCCTCTCATACTCTCTCGGTCTCCCTGCAAAGCCTGCAGTGCTTCTTCCCTCCTCTCCTCCTCCTTCTCCTCCTCCGCCTCCTCTTTCTCTGGCCCCGCCTCCCTCTAACTTTTAGGTTGCTGCCTTCCGCCCGTGCCTTTTTTCCTCCTTCCTCACCTCTCCGATCTTTCCTTTCACTTCCTCTCCTTCCTCCCTTTCCCGAGTTCTAATTCGGAATTAACTCTGGGGGTCCTTTAAAAAGATGACTATGTACAGTAGTGTGTTTCTTCTTCTATCTACGGGGCGCTCGATTTGACTCCCTTTGACCCCTTCTCCAAACTGTAGTCGTTCTAAATGAATGATGTCTGGAGAGGAAGCTGAAATTAACCAACGAGACAGCTTGGCGCAGCACTGGACTGAGTCCTGGGTTCTAGTCCTTTCTCTGCCAGTTACTAGCTGTATGACCTTGAATGAATTACTTTACGTCCTATCAGCTTCATCTATGAAATAAAGAGGGTTGGGCTAAAAGATCTGTAAGGTCGTTCCAGTAGTACGATACAATGGTCCTAAATGGGAGAAGGATCGGGAATTTGCAAATATCCCTTGCGGTAGGTGTGTGTGTGTGTGTGTGTGTGTGTGTGTGTGTGTGTGTGTGTGTGTGTGTGTGTGTGTGTGTGTGTGATCAGTGCAATGATAGCCCCCAACCATCCTTAAAAAAAATATCCCGGGAAAGGATGTTGCATCTGCTAAGGAGGTTCCGTTCATTAGCAACGCGGTTTCCATGGCGGGTATACACTTCTTTTGATGAATGGGCAGTCCCAAGTACCTTACACTTGCCTGTTGGGACTTGAAGATGATTAATTCCCTGGCCTGGGTAACAGACAGCGCTTACCTTCACTGGGACTTGTGGGTTGAGCTTCAGAAGTCCCAGGGTGGTGAACCTCAGAATGGGGGTCTCAGAGGAGCTTCAGCTCCAGTCTTTGTAAACACTCAAAGGCAGGACAGATATTTTTCCCTCCAATAAAGTCAAAGCGGCCAGCAAATTGCTTCAAAATAGAATAGTAGCGCTGATTCTTAGGGCTTATATAGTATGAGAGATTCCCACCTCTTAATCACCCTTCAGTGTTACCTAATTCATCCTCTGGATGTGAGTTTTTTGAAGAGCTTCAGTTAAGGATGATTTCCTCTATGATTCTTACAGTCTTTAAAACACAATGTGCTGCTGTCCTTATTAAATAGGAGGCCATTTCTTATCCCACCTTCAGCAGAACATAAACTTAGGGACTGTTTTCCCCTAAAGAAAATAGGTTTACATTGACCCATTCCTATTGCTCCCCATTTCCTGGGCATTAGCTATGCTGCCCAAGGTTGGGATATAATATGTCTCTGACTTGTAGGAGAGCAGAAAATACATATGTATGTGTATATCTATATCTATATCTATATATTTATATATATACACACATAATATATATGCATACATACATATATGTGTGCATATATGTATGTATTTATATGTGTGTATATACAAATATATATCTGTATCTATATATTTATATATACACACATAATATATATGCATACATACATACATGTGTGCATGTATGTATGTATTTATATGTGTATATATCGATATCTATCTATCTATATATAGAGAGAGACTTAAAAGTAGAGAGTTGGCAATGTTCAGTCCACTTCAATCACTTACTAGCTGTGTGACCTTGGTCGAGTCATTTTACCTCAATGAGCCTCAGATTCTTCAACTATAAAATGAGGATAATAACACCTGCCCTGCCTAGCTTACAGAATTATTCGTGTCAAATTAGATGATGTAAGTGAAAGAGCTTGGTAAATCTGCCAAGTGCCCAATAAATACTATATGATACTTGGGGGTGAGAGTGGGGAGAATAACATTAAATTTTAGAGGAAAGGAGTAGAAATTCACAAAGGCAATGTTATGATTCACAGATTCCTGAAAATGCTTCAGCATTGCAAGATCTATTATACTCTATACTAAAAATGCTCAGATGGATCTGTGTGAATCTGCTTAAATCCAGCCCTGCAAAAAATCCATACTGGCCCATACTGTACAGCTTCTTGTTCATGTCCATAAGTTCGCCACAGGGGGTCCACCCAATTCAATGTGTTGGGGCCTTTCCTGGCTTTCTCCTTATAAGGAACAGATACTAAGGGAACATTACAGCTGTTCACCTGTTATCCCTCACTTTCACCACAAGGCCAGCCCATTTCCTAACAGCAGAAGACCTTTGCATATCACAGGTGCTCAGTGAATGTTTCATGGATGAATGACAGTTGTTGTTCAGTTGTTTTTTCAGTCACATCTGACTTCATAACCCAACTTGAGATTTTCTTGGCAAAGATACTAGAATGGTTTGCCATTTCCTTCTCCAGCTTATTTTACAGATGAGGAACTGAGGCAAACAGGATTAAGTGGCTTGCCCAGAGTGGCAAGCTATTAAGTACTCGGGGCAGGATTTGAACTCACAAAGGAGTCTTCCAGGCCCAGAACTCTATCCTTTTCACCACCTAGATGTTGGGACACTAACTTGTAGAGAAAAAAAGTTAGCATAGAGTGTGTACCTAGTTATATTTCTCTTTGTCACTCAAGGTTGTGTTCCTGTTCAAAACCTGAAGTAAATCCACTTTCTCAAACATTCTTAATATTATGTGATTGCTTTATACTTGTCAGTTTTCATTCCTTTTTAACAATCTGGAAAGTTGAGGCTGCATTACTTTTTTTCTAAAACTTTTGGCCCTTTCAAGGACAGTGTCCTTACTCTCTTCCAGCACTCTGTTCCCACTCAATCTCCAAGACTTTTCTTATACTGTTTATCCTCCTTGAAATTCTAGGCTGGTATTGTAGATCTAGAGCAGAAGGGACCTCAGAGGCTGTAGTCTAATGCTCTCATTTTAGAGATGAGGAAACTGGGACCTTGGGAGTGTCACAAAGGTAGTAAGTCCCAGAGGCAGGATTTGAACCCAGGTACCCTGACCCCAGAGCTAGTGCTCTTTTCATTGTACAACGCCTCTTTTCTCCTGTATTTATCCAAATCCTTATTCATTTATTCTTCGTGATCTATTTCAGATCCCACTACTTTGTTTGAGCCCTCATACCAAGCTTTTTTGCTTCTGTGAAGCCCTCTCTGGTTATTCCAGTCCAGAGTAACCTATCCCTCCTCTGAAGTCTGATGATGCAAAATATTTAAACCACTCAAATGACAGACCAGATTGATTCATTCAACACTTCTTGTATCCTGCCTAGTGTTATTAATTATATTTTTATAACTGCATGGCTTGTCTTTCCAATTAAATTCCACGCTTCTTGAAGTAAAGGATTGTGTTTTATTCTTCTGAGTGTTCCCCATGAGGCACATAGTAGGCACTCAATTAATGTTCGTTGACTGGTTTATATTGATTTAACAACCATTTATTGAGCATTGGCCCTAGACAAAAAACTAAATAGTTCCTGCCCTTGATGAGCTCACATTCTATCAGGGGAAATAACATGTTCACAAGTCTTAGAAATTCCCAGCTTTGCGATGCCAATGCAGATCTAGTACATCTATCTGGGCACACCATCTTTCATGAATAAAGAGGACAGAGCCCCAATGATCTAATAGTACTTTTCCATTTCTAACAATGGTGATCTCACTAGAAAAATATATATGAGTGAACATCAAGAAACATTCCCTAAAGAAAACCCAATGAACAATAAAAACGTGAGCATGTTATTTTTAAAAACTGAAAGTAGTATAATAGTTATTAAAGCCTGCTTGAAATTAGCACTCTCTTCCAGGAATATTATATATTGGACTCAGTTCTTTGAAATATTTACTGAGGTTTTTAGGAGGATAAGGTTGGAATCATAATAAGACTCATTTGGGGATAGAATATACTTCCCCAATTTTCAGCTTTAACAGTCTGAAAAATAATTGGCCACAGGTGTAGAGTGATTGAATTATTCCAGATTGGCAGACACATTAATGAGTTTCTCAGGTCTTCCCAAATAAGTGGCAACTGCCACTTGCCCAGGAAGAATAGTGATTTATGTTGGGTCAAGGGATGAGAATACTGATTTCCTTCATTCTACTATCATGTGTACCTCTGGGGACAAGGTTAGCCTGGGAAAATCTTTGGATGGGTTGGTCATTTGGGGGTACTTGCTTCCAAGGTTATGTAATTAAATGCTGAGCTTTATGGAAGAGAGTACTGTAGGTGGTCACCTATGTGGTATCACTGTAGGGGTTCTGAAAGGTCCTTCCTATCCCTAAATACTCTGCCAATGGCCTGATATGCATTTATCCTCTTACTTAACTAAATATAGCTAGATACTGAAGTAGGAAATTCACTGGGCCTGGATTCAGGGAGACTGGTGTTCAAATCCAACCTCAGACACTTATCAACTATAACCCTGTGTAATCATTTCTCCACAATTCTCTCAGTAGTATTTAGAAATGATTTCAAATAATGCCTAGCACAGAGTAGATGCTTTTTAAAGGAGGTCCTTTTTTTCTTCCTTTCTAGG